CTAAATCGTTCTTTAGAACACCACACGTTTCACGTTATTTAAAAAAAAAAAACTTTAGATTTTTCATCACGTTATCGCATTCGAATAATTTTGCAAATCGGTTGTTGTAGTTTCGGACCGAGTGTTGCACACACGTGCATACGCGCTGCAACACGATATCGCGTGTCAACGAACATACACTAACGAAAACCCGAGTCGAAAAACGCGAAAAACTTCGGCAAAAAAGACGGGGTTGGTCTTGCGAACGGTTTAAACGCTCGGAGTTCGACGTGTAAGAGGAGAAATCGGCCTCCCCGCGCGTACGTCCGAATAAAATAATAAGCACGGGCCAACAAAACGTTTTCGTTTAAGGCCCACGAACGGTGGCGTAGATATACAATTATTTTCTGGTGGGAAGGGGGGGGGGGTGTTTAAGAGTCAATTCATAATGTTCTTAGTACATCTTAATACAGTGTTTCCCAACTTCTTTTACCCGCGGAACCTTTGCAGGAGCTTAAACGTTTTGTGGAACCCCAATATTTTTTTTATAATATTAATACAGGCATATGTATTTTACAGTTAAATGAGTGGGTTATCGGACACTTCCGGCACAAGAGTGTCATTAATATAAAAAAAAAACAAGACGGTTTTAACATTTTATTTTGCTTGTTATCTACTATTACAATATTATAAATGTGCCTACATATCAAAGCTTAAAATGCAATATTTGCCTCTCATTACTTCGAAGATAGATTCAATGAGAAGATTGGAATCATTCCATAGTGTTTTTTTTCATAACTGTTTTTAAATCTGAAGTTATTCCTGAAAGTTGGATTTGTAAGTCCGGAGCCGCATTTACTTGATTTCGAAACTTGGTCTTTGTATACGCCGAAAAGCTACGAACTACGAACCTCACATCGGGAAATGTTTCGATTCCAGTTCTATGTTGAGTTCTATGTTCAAATCACAGTTCAAATCGAAATGTTGTTAATTAATTTATATTTTCCCAAATTTCTCACGGGACCCTTCGCGCAAACTCACGGAACCCTTAGGTTCCGCGGAACACCAGTTGGGAAACACTGTCTAAATACGAGGTCCTACACAATAATATTACATTTGAAGTGGTATTATTATTATTATTATGTCCCGTATTCAATGGAAATCGTTTTGTTACTCAATTTTCAATGTACACCTCTAATCGTAGTGAAACTGAAACGCACAACAAAGGCATTCGGTACCGTCCGGGTACTCGTGCACGTGTTTGGACAACGCGTACAAAACACTTTTCCAACGGTAAAGGGTTAAAAGCTCATCGTTTCGAACTAGCGTACTTGCTAAGAAAAAAAACGAAAATGCAAGTCCCGCCGAACCGCGACCCCGTCCCGTTCGGTATCAGCCGACGTCGAACGTACGTCAAACATCAGGGGACCTTATGGCGCGAATAATCGGGCGCGTCGCCCCGGGGCCAGCCGGCGCCGGTTGCGCGAGTGCCGTTCGGGCCCGCATTATCGGGCTCATAAAATATTCAGTTTTTAGCGAGCGCGCGATTAAACCCGCGCGCGGACGAACAATAATTACAACGGTTGCGCCGGGGTGGGCTGCCGTGTTTGCGTTTTCCGCGCGCGCGCGATCAAATCGAATGCCGGGGTGCTATCCACCCCCCCCCCCCCCCGTGCGCCGGCGTAGGATTTTTGTCTCTTTTTATTACCGCTTCCCGGGGCGTCCTATTGTCCGTGCGCAGAGCCGCTCGGCGGCCAGGGCGGACTTGGGGAGGGGGCGGGGGGGGGGGGGGGGTTGAAGGTTTTGGCGCGGAAACCATCCGGCACAGGAGAAAAACGCTCTCGCACCGTGTCATTTTTTGCATGGACGCTAATAAAGTTCAAATATTTGGGGCGCTGAAATTGCTGAAAATACAATTAAACGGTATTTAACCGTAATTACTATAGATTATATAGATCTGAGGGAAAAAAACATGAGTGCTTATTTGAACTCAGGGGTTCTAAAAACCCTATTACGCCCCTCCCCCCCAGTTGCGCCTATGAACACAGGCGATCGCCACGGTTAGTTGGTTTCCCGGTCGAAAAACGAATATTTTCGATGGAAAAAATTAATCCGTACCCCGCGGCAAATAATATGCGCCTTGTCGAGCTCGTCCTCTGCTTGGAAGACGCGTTTATACGTGTCGGCTGCTATCGAAATGGTTTGAAATGGTTCGAATACGGACGACGAGACATTTTAAATTTTCGTTCGGTTTTCGTCGGAAATTCGTAACCGTGTAAATAATAATTGAACCACATTTTAGTGGGAATAGCATTTTTTTTTTTTTTTGTAGTACGTCTCACACATTTGAACCGACGAGTAAACGGTTACCATTGGAATTGAATAAGTGTTTTCGGGACACGGAATACATCCAAATACTTACACATGTATCCGGATAGTCATGAATCAAGTCAGTCCTTATAGTATGTTTAAAACGAAAACAAAAACGGTTGTTGGTAGACAAATCTACGAGCGGCATATCTATGGTAAACTATTAAGTTAAAACATACTGCAAAGTTATTTATTTTTTATTTTTTATAACACTTATCTTAACTGATGTAGAGAAATATCAATTTTTTTTTTCTATGTTCCAAATAATAATTTATTCTACTTACGAATCGTTTTGAACAGTCGGCTTTCGATTACAGGGTAAAATGTACTCACGCGGACACGGGCACGCATGCGGTGGTTTCGTTGCGGGCCGAGAAATAACAATAGTAATCAAGAAAAATCAGATTTGCAGCGAAAAACATTGTATTTTCCGCGAGCATGCTGCACAGCTTGGTGGAAGGTATTCAACCACCCATGCCCGGTAATCCGATTTGGGCAGTCGCTGCCACCGTTCCGCGCGTATATTCCCCGGCCGGGACCGTTTCCGATTCGCTTTAAAAGCGACGTTTAAAAAACAACTCGCAAAATGTCAACCGTTGACCTTAGCCGAACGCGTTCGTCCTGCCCCCGGGGACCGTATTTTAATTATGCGACACGTCAGTCTCCTCGGGTTTCCTTTACACTCCAATCGCCACCCGAGGGTTGCCGTTTTCATTTAAATAATGACAAAACACTCCACGGGCTTGCGTGCGCGCGCGTGTAAAATGAAAACAAGTCTTTTCGTTTGTCGATATTATTCATATTTATTTTATTTATTATCATTGTAATATCGGTATTACGTACTAGATTTAAAGGGAAACTAGACATACGTATTCGACAATCGCTTAAGTTTAACAAATACATCATCATTTTCACATGATATCAAACGTATTATGTATACATACATATGTGTATGTGTGTGTGAGCGTGTAATTGAATATCACTATGGAAAGTTTATATAAAAAAAATGTATTACTGGACTTCAAGTCGGAGAAACGTTTACGCGCGTAATTATCGACGCACGAGCGATGCTCGCATAACATATACCGTATTATTGTTGTAACATTCGTAATGGTATTACGTACTAACCAGAGCAACTGTAATTTCAATGAAGCGGTGGTTAGGTACATCGTGGTTGAATATTGTTTCACTAAACTGGTGATGAAATAAAAAAAACGGTTGAAAAGGAAAACCATATCGGCTCCATGATATTACTTGTTCGTCGGTACTATCCACTACGTAAATTAATTAGTAACACGTACTAGCTTATCCGAAAACGGGAAAAATCACATGTGTTTTAGTGACGTAAATGATCGTAAACTTTCGATAAAAAATAAATAAAAATAATGGACATCTCATGCATAATATACATAAGACCTCCGCAGCAGTTATATCGTATCTCTACTAGAATTGCTAGAAAACAAAACTCGCATACGTGCACATATATACGTATTACAAATAAAAATTATGTACAAGAGTGGTTTTTTCCGTTGATAAGTTAAACATTCATTTTCTCGGCCGACTTGTGCATTGTTAAAAGAAATCATTAAACGCGTTTGATGGATCAAAGTCATAACAACACTTCGGTAAAAGTAAAATCATCTAGACCAGAGGTTCCCAAACGGTGAGTCGCAATGATATTTTTAGTGGGTCGCGTTATTTTTTTCATGTGCTTCTATAACTTTTGGTTGATTTTTAATTATTTAGTTAGTTTTATCATAAACTGTTATCTGCGTTTGTGACAATTACAAATTTACTGTGACCAATAGACATAATAATACTTCTTTAAATGTTTATGCTCGATTGTGTCAACACAAAGCAATCAGATTAATGATTATTGAAAATATAAAAATATATTTAAAACAAATTAATAACTGTATGACGTTCAAATAAATTGATTATTTTCAGTAACACACAGTATGTTCAATATAATACGATCACGCAGTTTAAATTTTACTATTTTTCAAAAAAAATGTGTACAATTACTATGGATAAATGCTTAAATAAAAAGTCAATAACTCAAAGTTCTACGAAAACCGAAGAAACAGATATAATATCTGTGTCAACGGTTAAAAAAAAAATTAATTGATGATGAGCTTACAACAAGTTCTTTCCAATCAAAATAAAAAAATGGATATCAATGCAGTTATGAAAAACAGGAAACAATTACATTCTTCAAATTAAAATTATATACTTACTAATTAAATTATATAGTATAAACTTTTTTTTATAAAAATATAATACTTTTCTTCAATTTAAAATGATGAAAACAGCAAAAAAAAAAAAAAAATCATTGATATTTTTGTGGGTCGTCAAAATTGAAATAATTTCCAAAATGGGTCCTACTATAAGAAGTTTGGGAACCTCTGATCTAGGCTATTTGATATCGTGAATATGAAATCGGTTTCAAATGAAAACACGTATACACGTGGCGACACAAATCGACCTAAAAAATGATTGTTACCCTATAAAATAATAATCCTGTACACGTACATATATATATATATATATATATATATGGTGGTACCTATAATATAATAATAATAATAATAATAATAATAATAATAATAATAATAATAATAATAATAATAAATAATGATAATAATAATAAATAATGATAATTAACGGTAATTAATAATAATATTAATAACAAACTACAATCGTCTCCTACGTGTCCTTTTCGTCGGGGCACGTCTCGATGTCGATCTCACCGTCTTCGTCGTCATCCGCACCACATTCGGTAACACGACCGCCACCGCCGCCGTCGTCTTCTTCATCATCGTTGTTGTCGTCGTCGTCGTCCGCGGCGGCTGCAGCGACCGCAGCGGCCGCGGCCGCCGCAGCCACGGTCACCGGGTACACCGGCCGGAAAGCGGAAGAGTAGTCGGCCGCGGCGGCCGCGACCGCGCTTCTGTTGACTAGAGCGCCGTGGTGGTGGTGGTGGTGCGGGTCCAAATCGAGCTTGGGCAACCAACAGGGCAGTCCGCCGCCGGCCGAGTATGCGGCCGCCGCGGCCGCGGCCACGGCGAACGGGTTGGCCCGCTGTTGCCACACGTAGTCGACCATGGCCTGGTGCAGAGGCATGGACGGCACCTGCACCGGTACCGAACCGGACTTTTTCTGCGGTTCGGGAGATTGCGCGGCGGACGACCGGTGATTGTGGTGGTGCGGATGGTGGTGTTGGGACGTTGACTGGAGCACGGGCTGAGGAACGACGATCGGAGCCGACGTGGCGGCGGCGGCGGACGGCGACGACGAGGACGAAGACTGCTGCACCTGCATGGCGGTTTGCGATGACTGCTGCTGCTGTTGCTGCTGGTGCTGGAGCTGTTGGTGCTGCTGGAGCTGCTGGTGCTGTTGGTGCGCCATCGACGGCGGGGACGGCCTGGACACGGTGCGCTTTCGCGTGCCCCCGTTGAACATGGCCTTGACGTCCTCCCACGCGTGCACCACGTGGTCCGGCGGGTCGTCGCTGAGCTTCATGTGCCGGCGCCACGAGTTGAAGTTGGCCGCGTCCGGTTGCACGTAGCGCGCGCCCGCGCCCGTCCGGTGCGAGTGGAATATGAACTTGTTGGGCGAGAAGAACAGGCCGCACACGGAGCACCGGATGCACTTGGCCCGGGACGAGTTGTACCGGGACGGCAGGAACGAGCCGCGGCAGCCCCACGCGCACTCGTGGTGCACGGCGAACGCGAAGTCTTCGGGGAGTCGGGGCGGCGTGTTGTCGCCCAGGAACGAGTTGCACAGCCGTTCCGCCTCGCGCCTGGTGATCATGCCGCAGCGGCGCGACGACACCGGCATCGCGCCCGCCCGGCGCAACATCTCCAGCTGCACCGGGGTGCACTGCACGCACGTGATGCCCAGCGCCACCCGCCGGTTGTGGATCTCGTTGTAGCTGAACCGGTGCAGCAGCGTGTTGCTGATCTGGGCCAGACACAGCCGCTCCTGGTTGTCCATCTGCAACGACACGATCGGCACCCCGTACAGGATCACCGTGCCCACCTGGTTGGACAGACAAAACAGAACCTGCTCAGATGCATTTTGCCGCGTTCGCGCGGCCGCGGCGGCGGTCCGCGTGCCCCGCGCGCTCCTCCCGTCCGCCGGGACGTGGCGGCGGACAGTGAACGTTCCCGGGGAAAACGGTCCGTTCGATGTTATATCGGGACGCGCGTGCACGGGGACGACAGAAACGATCGCGGTCAAGGACGCGATATCGTCCCGCGGTGGATGGATAAAATCCGGGTGTCCGTCGCGTTGACGGTGCGTCCCGCGGGTTTGACGGTCGATCGAAAAAGATAAACGCTCGTTTAGGCGGGCGGGTCCGCGGGCAAGCGGGGGATTGATCGACGAAATGATCGGCGCTCAAATAATGCGGCGAATATCTTAAGTTCGCGGTCGCTACCGTACGGTATTTTTGGGAAAATCGCTTATGCCTCCTCATTCCCCGAGTTACGTGCCTGGCGGGCGCCGAAGACCAAATGGCGTGTCAGCGTTTTTGTCCTCGGACGGTTTCGGAATCGTTCTGATTCCCTAGACTCTTAGAGCTAAACATTTTCGCTGTACGTTCTAGTTGTCTAACACTTAATAGTTTTTTTTTTTTCAAATTATCAGTGATTTGTGTTTCCCACGTACAACGATTAACCGTACAAGATACTGAAGTGAACCAACCGCCATATCTCGGAATACAGTACATCATTATTGTCGTCTATTCAGAGCCAGCTCAAGGTATAAGCGAGCTAGGCATTTGCCTTGAGCGGCACTTTAGTAGGGGCGGAATTTTCAAAATTGACTCGTATATATATTTATTTTTTTTTTCATCGGTGTCCGAAATCAGTTTTTAAGTACATATATGGAAACAAGGCGATAGAACTATACCCCAATACTTATGTGATATTAAGAATTATATCGACTTAACTCGTAACTGTTGCAACAGTCGAGAGGAGTTCCCACAAAACTTAAAACATTAAAAACTTATTTGCGATCAAATATATCTCAAAACCGATTAGTCAATCTCTCTACTGAAAGCAAAATCGCAGAAAAATTAGACATGGATAGACTTATACAGAGTTTGGTTTTACTAAAAGCAAGAAAAGTAAATTTAAAATAAAATTAAGTTTGTTTTATTTTATTTTATCAATATTATTATAATAATAATTTGTTTAATTTTTGAAGATTATGTCAAAGGTTTAGTCATTTGTAAGGTTAATAGTGAAAAATATTTAATTATATAAATTCCTAAAATATAAATACATGCATCTATTGAATTTTTAATAAATTAATTACTTTACAATTTTGACGTTTAAATAAAGAATATAAAAAAATATCCCGATAGTCCCAACACTACTTGTTATTTTTTAAATAAAAAATATTTAATATTTTTCATGTACGTATATCACATGAAAAATAGATGAAGGAGCTATGTTAAAATTAGAACTCAATTTTTTTGACGTAACAAAATTTTATTTTGCCTAGTACACTATTATTGTTTGAGCCGACCCTGTATCTATTGCACCGGTACATTTTATTCACACCGTTTTATTAATTTGTTATTTTAACTAATTAATGATGTTCAAATTGTCATGCCGAAGTCGGTTCATTTCGTTTACTGTGTGATGGAATAAACAATGTACGAGTATAGGACCGATGCATCGCGATGCTTGATACAATTACTATTTTCTCACTAAAACCTTTTTTAATTATGCATCCGATATAAAGGTGTATAATAATGTAATTTAACTTATTCAACATTTCATACACTATAGGTCATTTGAAAAATCGATCTACTATCTTTGTACCAATTTTATATCTATATTTCAATGCGCTTTTCAAGTGTTTAAAGGAAACAAACGATAATAACGTTTTAGAGTTTATTTTTATTTATTTTTTTTTTTTTTAAGGCTATTGTCATTTACTCGCATCGTAAACTCGTTTTAGGCTTTCCGACCGGAACGACAATTCCCCTATTAAAAGGTCGCTTCGCTCCTTCCGACCATTTATCCACGCCACTCGATGACTTCTAAATAAATATAATACAATAACTACAAAGAAATTATTTGTAATAAGTTTTACAACTTTACATCCGAAATATTGTCCCTTATAAATTAAATTCAGTTTTTTCAATTCGTAAATTTTCAATACGGTTTAAACAAATCATTTTAACTTTTATCATAAAATAATGATTTATTTATGATTGTATGAATATTGTCTGATACAACAAAATACTCAGTTAACTTGATATAATTGAATTGAATAAATTATCTAAAGTCACTGGTGAACGAGAACATTTTTAATTTTTTTTAACTTACTTTGTTCGGTTTAGAATTATTGATCACTGGATTTAGCGCTCTCTGTGGTTCGGTTGGTTTATCATCCCTGTGATGACTGATTAACTGAAACCTCTGATCCATTTTCGCTAACGTCATTTTTCTGAAACCATAAAATATTTAAATTTTATTAAAATGAATTCAAATAAAAAATTTTACGTTTTTACAACTAGATTTATTTCACATTTGCATTCTATTGATTCCAACACAATTAGTGGTTTACTATTCATCAACGACATCGTTTATCGATCATATAACCTCTATGTTACTTCGTAAAGTAAAAAAAAATATGGAGCAAGTAAGATATTACAAAAATCTTACAGAAATTCATTTTATGCGCAAGCTCTATTTGTTTATTTAAATTAGTTTTAAATATTAAAATACTAAATTCGAAACTAATCTAACTAAAAATATTTAAACAAATAAATTATAAAATCCATAACCATTAAAATACACTCAAATTTCATGTCTGATACTTTTTAAAATTTAATTTCAAATCTAAATTCAATTTATAGACCATAAATTTTCCTTTCTTCCTCAGTTCTAAACGTATTTATATCAAAAATCATTATCTCTCCTCAATATTTTCGTCCAATATTATTACATTATAATCTTATATACTACTTCATTACAGATCGCATTCATGTCATCCATCGTACCTATTTATTGTTCCGTCATTATTTTTTTGTCTTTAAATTTCCTATATTATACTTCATATCAATAATTTTACTAATTGAGTTTAGTAATTGAGACCTAATATTACCCACTAAAGTCTCCTACTGTCAATGTTTATTTATTGTGTGTATATTTTTCTTATATTATTAAATCATCATATAATATACTGTTATCTTTCAACGTTGAGTTGAAATCACATAGGTATTCTATATAATATATACATAGAATTACCTATGTGATTCAGTATATTACACTGTATTGGTAGAGCTATAATGTTTTGTACAAAAAGCTGATTCATTAAATGGCAATTTAAAAATAAGGGCGAAAATCCTGGGTTTATTAAAACGTCGAACAAAATACTGGAATAATTGTATGACATTGATGTGTTCGTTTTTAAACTTGAAATCAATGTAGTATTACTGTCGAAAAAATGAATCTGACTGAAAAAGGTCGAGTGGATTCAAGTTATATTTCCAAAAATGTTCAATATAGTAAAAGTATCAAATTGCTTAATAAAATATATTAAACTTATGTCTATAATGTTTATAATGATGTTTATAATGTTTATTATATGATTTTGTCTTATTTTCAATCTTAACAGTTACCGGATGGAAATCGTAAACAGTGGAAAAACATTATTTATTGAGTCTCTCGTGATATTAATTCGAATTTGGAACTCCAGTTCAATCGATTTTTCCAATACTTGTGTATAATTATTATTCTACATGCCCGTAATGAGTATAATATCGTTTCTTTGCGCAGTAGACGCATAGAATATACGAAAATAAAGTATAATACTCGTTAATATAAATAATATTTTGTTATCGAGTGCGAGTAATCACAAACTCCGTTTTCGGATATTTTTCCTTTGTACACATAGCTCAATTTTGGCGAGCGGCGCGACTTAATCGAACCGATACAGTGGCAGAACGGAAAGATAAGTGTTGCACAGTTGTACTCAAAATCATTAGCGCGTGGAAAACCGAAAAGGCGAAATTAATTAAACGAGAGCCGATTGAGTGTATACGTGTATACGTGTATACGTGTATACGTGTATACGTGTGTGTGTGTGTGTGTGTTTGTGTGCGAAAGAAGGAGAGAAGGGCGAGTGTGCACCCCGTGTTTTGACGACTCTCATTCAACGCGCGTGTTTGCTGCAAAAGTGGGCGCCAAGGGACCGGGAATGGTTACACAATTACACGGGGACACGGCCTGAGGAGAGGGTTAATCTGACCCCGAACGGGGTACCCGTAATCCGTCGATAATTACTCGTTACATTTCGTGAAAGAGAGAAGCGTTTTTCCTCGTCCGCGGACGAAAGATGCTATTTGTATACACATATATACGTAAAGGCGCAACTGCTATTGGCTGCTGTTATAAAGGGGTAAGTTTTAAGCTTTTATTTATGTATACACTCGAGTATATTGTACACACAATATATAGTATAAAGTATATTATAATACACGGTTACATGAATGAGGCCACGGCGGCCGCGGGTATGTTCTAATTAAAAATAACTAAAAAACATGCATAAGTGGTGTAAGCTCAGGTATACAGGGTGATCGTCTTTAACGTAAGTCGATATCGATATGTATATATATACAAGAATGTAATAATAATTTACAATTTTTTTTTTTTACCAAGCGTTCCAACTGTGGCTTGCGATTTACCTGCTGATTTTTAGTGATTTTTAAGAACTTTTATTTTTATATAGATACATTAGTTGTTACCCTGTATTAATTTATCAACATATATAAAAAGATGAATTGATTATCAAGTTAATTGTATCATAACCTTATAACATACTTATTAGTTTAAATAAATATTTCTATAGTAAGCGTGAAAAATAATTTATTACTTGAAAATTAAAAATTAATTATCTCTCTTTAAACCCTTCTTCGAAAGCTTAGCTTATCGGAGGGTTGCAAATCATTATATATTAATTATTTAAAAGTCCCTTTATTTGTTATTTTAATTTATGTATATTAATTTATTTGTGTCTTCTTCTCCTTCTCTTCGCCTTTTTCCCAACAATTTGGGTTCGGCCAAAATATAAATAAAAATATATTAATTTATATATGTAAAATACCTTTTGGTTTTAATACTATAAATTAATTTGAAAATATATATTATTGCTACTTAGATATTTTTTATTTGATTATGTTTCGAAAAAAATAATTGATAGATACGTTTTTATAACTACTAAAATTAAGTTGTAAATTATTTAAATATCGAATCAAGCGGTATTAATTTTGATGCAAGTTAAAAAATAATTGAACATTTTTTTAACTCTAAGTTAAATTGATATTTTTCTTAGCATCCACTTGAAACATAAAGTTTATATTCATCGATTGTAATAATTACTAACTTGCCCACATTGGCATATTTCAACGCTAAACATTTTTATTTTGTAAACAAATAGAAATATAAGTCTCTAAAGAGCACTCTATATTTATACTTAACGAAACAAATGTGAAGAACTTCACAGTATATTATTGCTCTTTGTGTGTTCCTCTGCGGTGAATGTACACAGCGTCTTATATTATTTAAACGCGTTTCGTCTACACGTTGACATCATCGTCGTAGTTATTCAATGCATTTTTTACCATATTCACCGCCACGATTATTATTATCATTTCAACTCGGTCACGGGGCGGTGTCTTCAACTGTACACAAGAATAATAACATTAAGCCCTTGTTCCCCATGCACTCTAATTGTATAGTATATCAAAAAGGTAATTGCTCTCTCCGTAGTTTGTGTACATATATATATATATATATGTATATAATCCCGCAAGTATATTTTCATGAAAATATGATTATTATTTACTATGTGTGTACGAAAGGTCGGATCGAATTAAACCTTACTATATCTCTTACGCGAAATGGGTGTATAAAAGAAAAAAATCGATGTTTAAGTGCGTCCGTTTTATAATGCATATTGAATAATGAATAATTAGTTACATTTGTATCTTTTCTTTCCCGGCGGTCACAACAGTGTATTTCGAGTTAATTTAACGTACGTACTGAATTTAATAAATATTATAAAACATCACAATAAGAGTCAAATACAATGAGAAACATGAGTCTACGTACAAAAACAAGACACAATAATGCTAAGTTCAAAACCAATTATCTTAACGTTTAAGCTCCTTTTTGATTCTGTTTACTCCGTAATATTTAAATATTGATGTTGTTTTTATTTTTATTTCGAACTTCGTTACATATATAATAACTTTTAGGATTACCGCACGCTACGCCAGCGTTAAATCTCCAAATATAAAGCTTGCCCAACGAGTAAGCAAAACTTATTACTTTTATAATTTAGTAGTAATTCAACAATTATATGCTATGGAGTGAATTATAAAAAAATAATGTCATTTAAAAGAAAAACATGAAATTAGAAAACTATATTTCCATTATCTTTATCAAGTATTGTTATTTTGATTATTGTATTAATTTTAAAAAAACTTAAAGTGAATTTTCCAAATATGCGCAAAAATCAGTTAAGTCCTAGTGTAAGCAAAATAATCATCCACTTTACCCTAATTAAGTATCGAAACAACTTTATTTACGAATATATGAAAAAAAAATGAATGTCATGTGGTTGATGTAGGAAATATTATTTTGTTATTATAATTTATGCAGTTCCTAATTTTTTTCTCAATCTATTTCCATTTTTATTCATAAAGGAAATTTACAAAAATATGTTTCATAATCTCGTTTTTAATACAAACGATAATCAAACGTCAACTATTTTCATATATTTTTACGAATTTCATGCACTATAATATTATATTACCAATATGTATGCCGTATATCAAATCAAACTTTCTTTCTAATCGATCACATATTGTTCTTGATGTTATTAATCAACACACCAACAAAATATTATCATGATATGACGTGAATAACGCTGCAACAGATTGCATATATATTATTTTTCCATACTAATAAATAACTAATAAATAAATAACACCTATAAAGTGTCAAATGAGTAAATTTTCTAACAATTTTTACTGTACATGAATTCAAATCAAACAGCAATTTTTAAAACTTTTAGAATACATCATTCAATTTTTATTTATTGTAACCGTTGATGAAATAGTTTATTTGGGAAAATATGGTGTAATTTGAAAACGTTTTTAAACTCGTCGATACTAAAAGGTAAGTAATTGATAAAACTGAATCGAAAACAAAATTTATTTTTTTATACAAAAACCAAACTGAGGCGATGTTCTATTTTGGTTGGAACATCTCAGAGTTTGCGTGTAAAACAAATACTCGGAGATTTTTTAATACATCGAGTACTGTTCTTATACTTATTTTTGAAATATGAAACCGAGTAATGCACTGTTAAAATAGTTACGATTTGAGAACGAAACACGTACTGTCGAGGAAACCAACTTTAGTACAACGAGCGCGGGCAACACGAACAGGGACTCGAACGTCGCTAACCTGGACGGATCGTTGCAGAAACACTATTTGAAACTTTTGAAAAGTGACTCGATTCATACAAGCACTGCTACCCGCGTAAGAATCGCGTAAGTAAGCACATCACCGCGGTACAGTGCGTACGGCCGACTAGGCGCGTATACAGTGGGATGGGGAGTTAGGGGTTCAACCCCTAACTCCCGAGATTCAAGAAAATTATTAAAAATGTTTTCGTCGAACAAAAGTGTATACGTATGAAAATGTACAACCCCCCCCCCCCCCCCATGGAAATATTATTTTGTGTACGCGCCCGCGGCTGATCGCACAGATGTACACGATAATAGTAATAATAACGATTGTAATTCCATCAACGAGCGCGAATCCGTCGGAACGCGCGCGCGCGGTGGAGTGTAATTTCATTTTCCGTCCGACGGCATTATAATCGCGTTTCCGCACGGGCTCGGTCGAAACGTCATTATTAACCGAATACCATTATCACCGTAATATCATCGCCGTTATTATTGTTATTATCGCTGTTATTATTGTACGCGCAACGGTCGTATTAAAATATTGCGCTCGCGGGCGCCGCCGCAATAATTACAAGCGGCGGCGCGTAATGCGATTGTGCGTTTATCGTGGAGAGCACACGTCGCAGCGGAACGGGACGAATAACAAGGGCGGCACGCCAACGGGATGGATGGGGGGGGGGGGTGATGTTGTGCTACCCTCCCCGTGACTCGTCGAATCCGTTACGAATCCTCCGTGCACGTATGCGTCCGTGAAAAATCCTGTGTAATATTTCCTGACCGTTCGCCGCGGGCCATATGCGAGTTCGCTTTGATTCGCCGAAAGGTTACCGCATCATCGCGCGCGCTCGTCGGCGGGACGTCCTCCGCGTATTCGATATCAAATATCCCAACGAATGGGGCGGCGAACGGTTCGCAGGGTTTTCGGAAGATCGAGTCCCTTTGAACTCGCGTTGACGCCGCGAGCTCGCGCCAACCATCGGATCGTTTAATTTTGTGTTTCCAGCGGTCCAGGCACGCACGACGCAGAGGCGTTAGACGAAATGGACATTCCTTTGCGCGGTAAAGCGATAGTTTTTGTCAGATTCGTATTCAATTCGCTCAAACTAAGAGTTTTTCCCCGAAAACTATCAACACCGTAGCGCTCACTTAAAAACCTAACTACGGTTATGGTTGCACTGTTGCACTACGAATCAAGAAGTATCAATACTCTCTCAAATACAATTCAACCTAGTACTCAGAAAATCGGAACAAAATTTAAAATATAAATTATATACTTGTTTATACTTCGAATGGTGTTTTCATATTACTTCATTTGTTTATGGATTCTAAATAGATGTATATTTAATTTATTACAAGAGGAAAAAAAATCAACTTTTGATGGCCCATATCCAACTAACACTAATGGCTACACTCTTATCGTCCCAAAATAACAACCCTTAACTCAAAACAATTATTACTTTTTAAGTACATGTTAAACGTAAGTATATAAAATCTACAAGATTTAATCAATTATTGAATTGGAGGTTATAGTCCATGGACTATGCACGATAATGTGATACTAATTAATAGGCATCAACATTTTCAAAAAATAAATCACATTTTCTTGAGCAGAATATGATTATTGGTAATTTAATCGAATTTACCGGATAACCAATAATAAATAAATAGTGATATTTTATTAATTTTATGGTTGATAACGTTTTATGTATTTTTATTTATGGGTTTAAAAGAAATTTTGTTGATTGATAACGCCCTGAAACATTAGCGTCACATTAGTGCACACTCCAATATACACCTCTCTTACAAAGGCACTTCTAGACAAAAAACTACACGCACACATACTGATATGGAAAAATATTAATCTTTATCAAACATCTAATTTACTTGTGTATGTATGAAAAAAATAATGGAAATGAACACAGAAATAAATATTGTAATTAAAGGTAGATATTCAACTTTACTTCGTAAATGATTCAATAATAAACATTACATTCAATAACGGCTTTATACTCCTGGTTTATCGTAAAAAAATTAAAAGGATAATAATTTTAAGCTAATTTTATGAACATGATTACGACTGCAATTCATACACACCTATACCTGTATAATACATGAACGTATAGAACATAATTATATAGTAGACACTAGTAGTTCTTTTTTTCATTAAAAATGAATCCCTTAACTGTTGTTATTTGCATGACATTCACCCATACATGGTAATTTATATTTTTTATTAAAATCGTTCAATGCACACACATTTATGATTTATCACGTACTGCAATATGGCTTGTTTCACATGAAAAAAAACAATATATTTTCAGAAAAACCCGGGTTCATCGATTGTAATACTTGAATATTTTTAATAAAACTATAGTGCGTGTCGTTGTGTTTATAAATATTTATATTAATAAGTGCTAAATATTAATACCAAAAAAAAAAAAGTACTATGCGCGTAAATACATTTGCATGGGCATATTTTTATGTTTAATAATCTACATTGATGCCAAGTGCTATTTATGAATTTCGTAATTAATTAATTAATTAATTTACGGTTTTATCGATGGTGACTATTCGTCTAATATTCTCAAAAACAGTAGTTTCGGTGAACACATGGATTATTTAATAGTGAATGAGATAAAATAATCTAGATACATTTTTTTATCGTATTATTTATAATCCCGTACCAATTTATAATATTATAATGGTTATAGGGTTACTTATATTATCTGTAAAAAAACTGCTAACAGGTGAATTCTTTATTAAATTAAAATAACTGTTAATTTATAATTGTATAATATTACGTCGTAGTATACTTGCTAATGATAAGAATTAAATTATATTTACAATTAAATACATTTTGCGAATGGTGCGAATAAACGTTAATCGATTTTAATCAACATATTTTCAAAAGTTTTTGTACGATGATTACCGTAAGATGAATCTTACATGGCAAGCAGAGTAGAAAAAGATTCTGTCACTTTCTTTTTCGGACTCTTAATCAACATGTCAAATTCAATCGTAATCCTACAGGCTTATAGCAACAACAAGAGAAACACATTTAAAAATCCGTCTTGATCGACGCTTTCAAGACCTGACACTCGCCGTGACATCAATGGTAGCTCGTCCTCCTATTTCACCGGTACTAAAACCCGTGCCTGCAGTTCATCTCATTCTAATGCATCTGACACGTAAGGGATATCCTGAGTGCATGTCGTTTTTATTTTTCACGGTTTTCAGAGCGTCTGCAGTCTTATCAACAAATATACTACTATTTAAGAAAAACTAATCCATAAAAAATTTTTAAAAAAAAGGTTTGATGATCTATATGCAAAATATTTTTATATGTTAAAATTAAAAAAATATATTTATAAAAATTTGTTACCCTCCTGACTATATATTTACCGATTTTGAACTATCTATTCAACTTAGTGTATTGAAATTTTGCCTAGCCATAACCATCAAAAAATGTCACTTCCATTTAGGGCCAAACATGGCGGCATCACATTCAAAATTTGGGATTGAGTATAAAATTATCGCGACAAAACAGAAATGAGTTTATTTTTGAAAAATATAATTGGATTACCATTATTAAACAAACAATTTGAGAAGAAATGTTTTGTTGAAGATTTTATAACTTTAAGACCGGAACATCGAAAACTATGGAAATTATGGATTATTTATTGGAAAATTATACAGATCCAAGAGCGAAATTTCCTATTTCTATGTAAGCTGAAACGAGTAGTAGTTTTGAAAGGACAGATAGTGAAAGTTTTCATTCCTAGTACAATTCATTATTTTATACACATATACCTAACCTATATCCAGTTATACATTTTTGAAAACATTAAAAAACTGGATAACTGCAGATTAACTGGGACGTATTCGAGCTGTGTCGAAAATACGAGCTTTTTTTCTTGGGTGAAACATTAAAAGGGGTCATTTCGAGACTGACTCGGGATACTCCTGATGTGCATGCGTTTACGTATAAACATATTATATTCGTATAAGAGCTTAACCGCGTCACGTATATACAACGCAATATCAGCTGTCGTCCGGTCTAGTGGCGGCGCCAGGGACGGGCCAGATAAGGCTAGATATCTGGAAAAACTGACCCTACCACTGACCACCTAACCTTTGACATAATTACATTTTTATGTACAGTATTATTTTAGAAAGTAGTTTCGCTATAGTGTTGTGATTTTTTTAAGTTTTAAAATATTGTCATTAGCTAATATGAGTATTAATCATTATTATGTATTTTGATGAAATTTCTTTTTTGGCGGCCCTACCTCATAATTATTGGCTTCCTATTGGCCTTAGCCAACAGAAAATAATCCTGTTGCTGCTTGTGCTCCGAACAAAATTCGTCCGCATGCTACGAGGACCTAGGGTCGGGCGAAAATACGCGTTTTGAGTACTTACCTAAATCTTTGATGCGACGGTATATGGCGCCGTTTCTCGACAACTCTTGTCTGAAAACTGCCGTCGGTCGTTCGCGCGGATTAGGTCTCGGCGGCGTCGGCGGCAGCGGTCGTCCTGGCGGTCGCGCACGGTCACAACTCTCCCGTTGCGGTGCGTTGCATGTGCAGCGCGGTGACGGGCCGAGGGTCGATTACGGATAACGTTCAGCGAAAAGCTTCGGCGACGGCAGCCCGAAACGTCGCTGGGCGGGACCGCGCCGGGACCCGACGCCGACCAATGGCTGGGGTTGGAACGATTCACCATGCGCGGTCCTGCCCAGCCGACCCTTCGGCGGGTGGTCCTTAAATACAGCGCGCGAGCCACCCTTACCCCGCCGCCCATGTTCCCTCCTCTGTCTAACCTCACTCACCGGCCGCCGAAGAGGACGCGCGGCGGATCACGCTAACCCTTCCGCGGCGCATCCATCCTCCGTACCCGCGGGCTTTGCACCGTCGTTTCGGAATACATTTGGAAAAACCGCATCGCACGACCGTGTGTAGTGCACGCGTCGTATAGGTACATATCTTGGGCCGCGTTAAACTTGTATGTACATTACACGCGTTTACGTTCTGCAATTAATATTATTATCATTATAATTTCCCCCCCCACCCCCGTCCCTTGTACGCAACGTTGTTCCGGATAGGGCGCGGAGTTTGTTTTCGATTTTCGCGTCGGGTTGCAGAACTGTGACCGCGGAATAAAACAAAACTGACGGCGTGACGACGACGTAAACTACCCCCGCAACATAAGCGGTCTTAAAAACCCGAAACCAATCCGCTAAGCTTGTTTATAATTCTCGACTGTTTGGACAATGTATTCGGTTGCGAATAAAAATAACGTTTTTATTTACGATTTACAAATGTAAATAACTACGGACGGACGTTATACTCACTAGAGAAGAGGTTTTTGAGGTTTTTTCTGAAACATGGATTCCTTTAAGACATGTAGTATAGTCACGGACCCCTTCATTTTTCTGGTTGGTTAGACTAATTCCCCCCGTCTTCTCTATCGTTTTTGTTAATCAAAACAAACTATTAAAAAGTAAACGACATTAGATTTATTCTTTTTTCTGTTATAGAAAATTCGTTTAACATATCCTCAACGTCTACAACAATATCTTTAGATTAGGTTAGATCGGCTGGTTGTAAAATCGGTTTACTTCAATTTTTAGTTTTTAATAGTGTGTTGTCTACGTTGACATAAGTATTTGAGGGAGATATACAAAGTTTAGAAGGGCTGAATCTCCCCAGCCCATGGCAATTTGCGCCTATGAGTAGTACATTGAATTTTGTAGAGTAACGACACCTTTAATATAACGGTGGCAATCGTTTCAACGTCGACTGTAAAAACAAAATAACAAGATTCGATTTTTAATATACATTCAACCGACAATTTTTCAACTAAATTAAACACCAATATAACGGATAAAAGAAAATGTTGTAAATCGTAATTGTCGATGTACAAAAATGACGGTCGTTTAATGTTTAACTTTTTCCATTCAATAATCGTAATGTTTTAGGAAAAAATAAAAAAAACGTAATATTATTAAAACATTTCAAACGAACAAAAAAATTATTTTTCAACTACAAAATTAAATCGCAACACGAGTCCTCTTGTCTACCGATAGACTTAAATTATAATTATCAAGCTCATTATGTATTACAGCCTCACACAAATAAAATGTCGTATGTGGGATTAACCGTTCATTAAATACCGTACGTATAAATCATTTAAACACACGGTTAGCAAAGTCCAACGGTTGGAATATTGAATGCTGGCATTTCGATAAGGCGGTGTAAGGACATATAGAATTTATTACAAAAGAAATGAAGAACGCTGAATACTTGGTGTACTCTTCAACGTTTCATCGTCTTAAAGATTCCAAATTATTGAAAATTGTTTATATAATATTATATTAATTGTTGATTATGGTTAAAATCAGATTTTTAACCATATAAGTATAAAATAACAATGATAAACGGAATATAATACATAAAAATGAAAAGATACACATGCGATGCAACGTAAATTATAATGTACAGTTTTCAATCTGTATAACGAGTATATCATAAATCTGTTGTTTACAAAGAAAATTAAAAGGAAAAATTTCACAAATAGTTTACAGCTAGGCGTAATGAAGGGACGTTTGAATATTTTATTACGAAATATTTTATCGATGATGAATGCAAATTCCAAAATTATTTTAGATTGACAAAATGTAAATTTACTTTTGTTTTATCTGCCATCGCAAAACATATTTTTAAAACTCCAACAACCACTGTGAAGTTTCTTAAAACACTAAAGGAAAAACTTGCAGTCACTTTAAGATATTTATTTCGATATTTATTAGTCAAAATCTAAATAGGATGATTTAGATGACTAATTAATTTTCGTTTTGTTGTACAAGGTTTTTCTAATAAACATTATATTAAATATAATATTTTATTTTAATTGAAATCATTCTGATTATAGTAATATTAATTAATAAGATTAATATTGTTATCTATGATACTGATTTTGAAACGTTTGAGTATATTATTCGTTATTAGAGGTAATACTTATCATCATAAAATCAAAATTAAAAAAGTTGTGATGTTTATGACTTCCTTCTCCAAAAAAATTAACCCTAGAGCCGTTGCTGAGATAAACTAACATTTATATCTGATTAAAAATGATTTTGATATATTTAAGCAGAACATTGTTCATTCCAACGATGATATTTTAGATTAGAATTGTGTTTATTCACAGTAGAGATAATTATTAAATTAAAATTGTATGATATTTATGATTATCTGATTATATTTTAGAATGAACTGCAAATTTAACTCAGAATATTCGTATTATTCAGCCGAAGGACCTGGTCTCTTAGGGGATGGTTCATGAGAATATAAAAATATACAAATAAATGTAACAATCGAGTCATTACCCTAAGTACAAATATTATTATATCTCTAGCTAGTAAACTTTTTGTTTTAAATGTGACTGTAGTATCGAAAAATGACAATAACCTAATGAAAATGTATGTCATGAAAGTGACACTATCAATTGACATATCTGGTAATTTATAATTTAAATGTTCCGATCCAGGCACCGTTGCCATTTAAGTTATTTGTAATTTTGCTCTTCATTTAGATAATGAGCTTGCTGTCATCTCGATTTTACTCCGCTTCCCTCCACTATTAGACCAATTAATTTAGTAAATCAATTGAAGGATGATTATTAAACCTACATTAATTAGTTCGCAGATAACTATTTGGAATAAATATAGTAAATAAATTATTAAATCTATTACATATATCAATAATTAAATATATCATATATATATATATATATATATATATATATATATTATCTCTAAAAGATACTTTTAAAAAAGCTAAAAATATATAAACGGTAAACAATTATAAATAATAATCCTGTTGAAGATGAATCACAATCAAGGACACATATATAATATATATATATATATGGAATAGATGGGGAGAGGTTTCAATATTTCATCAGAATTCCAGTAAAAATCGTTGCTCACCGAGAGAATTGGTAAAGAAACAAACATTATAAATAGAGTCGGGCAGTCTAATATTTTCACGTTCTTTATTTTTATTTTAAATGCTATTATTTTAAGGTACCACGATCTGTATGTATGTGAGACTAAAATAGTCTCACAATCTAGCGACTTAATTTTTAAGAATTTACCACAATTTATACTTAATGTTATTCGGAATCATATAGGAACTGGCTAAGGGATTTTATTTTCATCGGGCAACTGAAAAATCGTTTCAGCGTTACTTCTGTGTACTATTGCTATAATATGCAATTGTATACGTGCTTACCTACAGAGAACAAACCGAACGAAATAATGATTGTTTCCTCGGAAATAAATCTCCATTATACATTTAACGCAGTCTTGTATAACTTAATAAGCACATTTGAATGAGTACACAGAAATTGTATTACGAAATATGAATCCATTAATTTAATTCAATTTCAAAATACATATACCTATAGTCGACGACTGCTTAATAATAAGATACTACTTCCTCGTATATAAATCAATTACTTGTTGTAGAACACTGCGCAATGATAATGAAATCTTAATTATTCAATTCGATTTGGGTGCAGATTATGATTATTATGTCAAAATATACATGAAATATATTTATTGATTAAGACATTTACAATTTTAGGTATCTTATGGTACATATTACTATATATTACTAATATGATATCATATCAAATATCATTATTTTATCGTTATTTTTTTTTCCTTGATAGAAGTGAAAACAAAAAACGAAGCTAACTTTAAAATAAAACGTAATATAATATTACAACCTACAGTATTGCCATGATATTTTTTTTTAGAATACTTCTAATAAAAGTTTATTTTTATATTAGATTTATAAATGATACCAAATAATCATTCGTGAAATCGAAAAAGTCTCATAAACTATTTAAAAAATGACTAGACAAATAAGTGTAGATAACGATTTTATTCTCAAATAATTAATTGGCGAATTAATTTCACTTACCACTAACCACTACTATAAGTACTTACAAAAATTATTACACAAACAGGAGTGGCATACGTAGCATTCTTCGGTGGGGGGGGGGGGCTTGAAAGTAAATAATTACTCAACTGTCACAGGATTAAGTTTGAAAAATAAAGAACGCGATTTTTTAATTCTTATTTATACTAAGCATAATATAAAAAAAATATAATTATAAAAATAATGGCAATAAAATTATATTTTTATATAAGTTTATTTTTCTGGAACTTATACTTATTTATTTATCACCTTATTTTATCATTTTAAAGTACTAACGTGTCGTGTCGTCGTCATTAGGTTAACCTACTCAAAACTAGTCATACATTTATAACTGTTTTATTTTTAACGTAGTAATTGTCGGGGTAAATAATATTATTTTCCGTCTCGACAAATAAAGTTAAAAAACAACGAATACGTAGATCAGTGGTGGTCAAACTACGGCCCACCATCATTTAATATCTGGCCCGCGAAAGTATTCTACATTACAAAACTTATTAGGCGTAACTATAATATTTCACATTTACGTAAAAAAAAGTTGAAAAATTAAAAAATACATTTTTTTCATGGCCAGGATAAAAAAAGGTTGGCCACCACTGACGTAAATAATCGGTACGAGAAACGATATCCATAAATGTATTTCATTGTATATACGTATCTTTAATTGGCATTTGAAACCATCGGCGCCAGTGGAAATTTCAACGAGATGCTCCGGCTCCACCGTTTCTCTGCATTAAAAAGATAAAATAATAAATACAACGTCTTAAACATTTTAAGAGAAAAAATATTAAACACAACATTTTAGAGTGTTCGACCAATCGTTGGAAGGATAACGACCAAATTCACCGGTGAATTCACTACCTCAGTACAGCCGGGTTCACACTACACCGTGCCGTGTCGTGTCTTAAATAATTATATCTGATTTGTTGAACCTTATTGTTACATCAAGGTGTACCGTGTAAGAAATCACAAGTTACCTCACTAACCATAAGGTACCGTTAAGTTGATTTTATCCAACTTTTGAACGTGTGGTTACCACAGATATAGATAAATTTGTTGTTTTATATATCTGTGGTGGTTACCGATTTTAATAGTAATAATTTAATATTCTATGATAACATTACTCATAATAACAATAGGCTCGGAAGATGTAACATTTGCATGATTTTATTGGCCTATTCAATTTATTGCTCAGCAACGTTGAAATTATTTTCACGACACTATGAAAAACCTAATGGGTACATTTTGAACGAAAATTTCAAATTTTAATCTATTTATTTTACTTACATTTTAGTTTATCTTATATATTTACTCCTAAAAATTATGTTTAGCTTAGTATAATATACTAACAACATTTCTACTGTTATGTACGATTATATTCAGTGGTTGAATTGGAAAAAAAAATAAAGGTGGACTCTAAATGTAGCTGAACAATTAGCGTTCCAAAGCAAATTAATCTAAAAAAAACCGTGGGGGACTTTGTCCCCCCCCACCACCTAAATGCATCTACAATATAAATAATTAAATATATCTAATGATTAACACAGATATCTATAACAAATAATAAACAATACTAATAGGTATTTATTTGTATTAATTCTATCAACACAGCAACACGTCTAGCAAATTTAAAATCTAAATGTAAATATATAGCCACATGATAAAATTAATTAATCAATTAACTTTCAATTTAAAATAATTCATGTATTTTACTGTTGCCTACAAAAAGTAAATATTAAATTTATAGATTATAAATGTTACTCTTTAATTAGTATATTAATTTTTTTTTGTCAATATTAATTTTAATATTTGAAGTTTAATATTAGTCAAATAATTTATTTCATCCCGTCACATTATTTTTAGGACTAAGATTTGCTGAGAGTTAAATAATAATTATTTTTATCATAGTTATGTATATTTATTGCTTTAAAATGTATGACCAAAAAAATTTAAGGAACTTTTAAATGTATTTATTAACTTTTTTTTTAGGTAGGTACTAGGTACTTAAGTAAAAAGGGCTAATAACTTTTTTTGAAAAATCAAGTTTTTTTTATAAATTTTATCAAATTACAAAAAAAATAAAAATTGCCGGGACTGACGTTCATTGATAATCAGATTGTACATCAGTTTTTCTAATAAATTTTATTTCTACTTTTTTTTTTTTTTTAAGGCGGGATTTATGAGGGTGGATTATCAAAAAAAAATAAAAGTACACCGGTAACAGGAATCTGCGCACGTCTATGATTTATTATTAAATTAAAGTGTTTTAATTACCTTGGTTATTGTTTTTTTTTTTTATTGAAAAAGTCCGATATGGACAATTTTTGACGTTTATTCATGTTTATTTGTTTATTGCTGACGTGACATGTAGGACTGTAGGAGTGCGGTTAAGGTGTTTACTATTTTCAACAAAATTACAATTTATAAATTACATACGAGAGTACGCGACAAGCTAACATAATACTGATTACTCATTCGTGGCGCACCTCGTTTCCAAATAAAATATAAATAATATTTAATTTTCCTTGAAAACGATCACCATTTGTTAATCGTCGATAACTAAAACAACGGACGGATTCTCAAAATACGGAGTCAATATATTATTATTGTCAATGGTTTACTAAAGATCGTTATATCGGTACACCCAGTGAAGTTTTCGTAATAATTATATTTTTAGCAATTTAGCAGCTTATACCACGAATTAATACGCAGTGGAAACACTTGAAACGTGTTACATGAATTATATAACATTATTATTTATTTTATTATTGCGTTCCTAATATACATATGTGCTGATAATAATGAACAGATTACGAACTAATACCAAAAATTAAATAAAATATTAATCGTTTCCAATTTTTTTTTCATATTTATTTAATTTTTCTTAGAAACAAATTCATATTCATATAATTGTTGAAGGACGCTGCGTCCCCTGCGTTCCTTGATGAATTAAATTAAGGGGTACGCTATAATATGAAGAAAAATGAAGAGTAGCTCAGACCCTCTGCGTCCCCCCCCCCAATTCAACCACTGAGTATATTTAATAAAATATCTTTTTTTATGAACATTTTTGCGTTAAAAAAAATTAAGTGCATATTTTTTAAGCATATTTGTACTTTTTTTAAGCGCATAAGTGCATGCATATTGAATACTTTTTAAGAGGATTAAGTTCTGAGCCCCAATAATAATATAATACATAATTTCTACTAAATAATTTAATATTCATCAGTTATTATTCGTTGAAACTTATGAAAATATTTCATATCTAATAAAAAAACTGCGAAAATATGTAACCAAATTTTGATAGCATCACCATAAGATATATATTGGTATCACACGGTCTAGTAAAATACACATCAAGGTGTAGTGTGTACCCGGCTTAAGCGTTTGGTACACGATTAGTTGGTCTTATAGTTTTCGACCACGGTTGGAAAACAGATTTCCATTTCAACTTGTATTTCATTTTTACTCGTGAAACCACTTGCGCCATCTAGGCGTGTACCGATCGTCAGAAACGTACAGAGACTAGTAAGACTATAATGAAGCACACGTTTAGGCAATATTTATAACGGACTTATTCGGTATATGAAATTTCGCGTAAGAGAAAACTGAAACCTCATTTGCTATTTTAATGCTTTCATTATTATCTGTAAAATACTATCACAAGCATTGAAAAAATTAATGATTTTTAAAGTTTAAATTATGAAGACATTTAATGATTTTATAAAATTATTTAATTTTGATTTGAAACCGGATTACAAAATATGGTTTAAGTACTAAGCATGCAATAAGAAAAATATTTATGTTAAATGGCAAATAAATAATGACTTATTAACAAATAATATTTTAACATTTTTACAACTACTATAAGAAACGAAAAAACTTTGGCTTTGGGTCACAAGATTGTATTAATTTTAAAAATTTGCTTTTCTACAAATGTAATAAAATAAATGATCACTAAAATTAGTTTAGCACATAATTAAATCTATCATCTTGGTGAAAAACTGTTATGAATTTATAATTTTTTTTAAGTTCACTAAATTATCTCTTACTCATAAATTTTATTATTAATAATTTAATAAATCAGTTCATACAATCAATATAAATACTAAAACATTTAATTTTTTTTTTAAATTTAACCAAAAATACTTCATAGCATTTCATTTTTTACTATATACATGATTAAATGTCTCAAACAAAGTATTCAACAATATTATGTAAAGAAAAGGAGTTGAATAAATGGAATTGCTCACTAAAAAGAAAAACAAATTCTTATTTTCAATGTTTTTATATTTGTCATACATTAAACCATAACTATTCATGCATCAACTTTTCCTTCTGTCTTGCCAACTTCTTTTTGGATACTTTCTTCTTTTCAGCCTCATCCTTGGGCACTTTAGCAACAAACTTCTGTTTTTCAGCAAGTATTAATTCAATGTGACAAGGTGAGCTCATGTAAGCTTAAAAAAAAAAAAAAATAACTGTAATTTATAAATAATTTATTTTGATTTAAGTAAAAGATAATAATTGACTATAACTTGACTTTATTCTTAAAATATCTAGAAAACATCTCAATATACATTTTAATAATAAATATTACAAATAATTAGTTGATAAATAAAAAAATTGAATTTAAAGAAATAAACTAAGTAGAAAAAAAAACATAGGTTTCTTAAAGCTCAGTCAAAATAAAATAAAAAAAGTACATATAACATATATCATATTCGAATAAGCAAGGTTTCAGGACTTGAAACATTTTCATACTTTTTCAAGGTTTAATTTTTACTTGCCCATGTAATTTTTTTCATATAAATAATATACTCAAAATAAATAAATTTGCTATAGAAACTATGGTTTGAATTTGGATCTACAATTAGGAAAAGTACTTATCACCAATATTTCAAATATTCTTAAACATAATAATTATTTTTTTATTTTTATGAAATAATAATAAATATTTAAAATGCAAATTTTAGTTTTTATTTCATGTTTTAGTGCTCATTATGTATAATAGTTTAAGCCAAGAAACATAATATTGGTTCAGTTCATCAATAATTTAACAATAGAATATTCCACAAATTTGATTTAAAACAAATTAATTGAGTATGTATTTTAATATCAAAATAATTATTGTGTACTTACAAATAAAAATTACTTCCTACTTCTTAAAACACTTTTGTAAATTTAATATTAGGAAGACAAATTGAGCGATACTAAATTCTATAGAAAAGTCGATCATGAAAAAAATTTAAAATTTATTAATATTTGTGTGATCTCATTATAAATAAATATAAAATTATCAAAAAAAATTTTAAAAAACTATAATTTCTCATAATAAATTATAACAGCATAAGCCTATGACTTAACCTATAAATGATTAGAATTCATAAATTTAATTCAACTAGTCAAGTACCAAAAATAGTTAGAAATATTCTAGCATACAGTATCTCAATATTTATTTAACATAAATGGGTATTTAAATTTTTTAATTGCAACATAATATTGAAATATGCAAAAACACTATTTCAACAATACCTAATTATCAGACTCATTATGGCTACTGTAGTTTTTAATTTCATAGAATCTAAGGCTATAACAATGGGTTAGAATTCCTTAGTTGTAAAAATTCAACAATTTGTTATAGACAATTAATAATTGAAAACTGTAATATAAATTATGAAACTGTACACTTGATAATAATACAAATGCAGAATTATAAAATAAATAAGAAATAAATAATAATTTGTAACAAAATTGTTGAAATAAATTAAAAAAAATGATAATCTCAAAAAAAAAAAAAATGTCAAATATAGATATTTAAGAGAACTCCTAGCACAAAAATCAGACGCTTTAAAAATTAAATAAGAGAAAAATTATTGAACTTACGGTTAATACGACCGTGGGCTCTGTAAGTACGTCTCCGTAAACAAGGAGCACGATTTACTTGAATGTGTTCAACAAACAAACGATCTACGTCCAGACCCTTAATGTCTGCATTGGACTCAGCATTTCTGAGGAGTTGCAACAAGAATTCAGCAGACTTCTCTGGCCAACGTCCCTGAGTCATGCCCCACTGTTTGGCCTACAATAAAATAATAAAGATTTTAGTCCATCAATCTTTCCTATATTTACTATGTTCTTACTTGCGCACAACGACCAACACCACCATTGAACCTTCTGAAAGGTACACATTCTTTCTTATCCTTAACGTTCTTCAAGTATTGTACAGCACGACGAAGAGGCATTTTCTTAATGGTCTTGGCTGTCTCTCTCGTGTTCTGAAGACATAAGTTTTAATTAACGAAAAAATGACAAGCGTCGAATTGTGTAGAAAATCGACACAACTTAAGATCGATTTCCAGTACCTTAAAATGAACTCTTAAATTGGAGCCCCTGGCCTTACAGGACTTGGTTGGGTTCTTCGGTTCCTTAGCGTACTTGCCCATGATTGGGACTGTGGGGAAAAAAAATGTTTAGATTAATACCGATACTTGTTAGAAAAATAAGTTTAACATAATACTGCGAATAAAATAATAATAGTTTGGAATGATTTTCAGTGAGAAATTAATGGATGGAAATGGATAAACATCACACGCTTACCTGAAGAAAATACGAGAATAGAAAAAGAACACTAAAACCTAAATGGAAAACAAATCTAATATGTTTTGGTTTGACAACGAAACGAACGCATGATAATTTGAGGTTAGCCAACAGTGTGACCATCTCCATGAGCCTTATCTCAAGCAGACGTTTATGACATTTTTTTCATACTATTTAAACAATTTTGAATTCAAGTAAAATATGTAAATTTCGTCAATGTTCAGGTTTTAATACTACGGCAAATGCATTTGTATTGGGTTTATTATAAATTATGTAATAATTAGAAATACATGTTAAAATAATTTGTTATTTCACATTCGAGCAAACAATTATTATATTTTTTTTTGTTTTTTGTTTTCAAGGCGGAGAATTGTTTTCTTCTTACGTAAATACCAAATTAATAACTACAAAGGTGTGAGATTGATTTTTTGAGAATTGTGAATGAAATCAGGAATGGCGTTGGCGATCATATTGGCCAAAGTTATAATGGATAATATGATAAAAACAAAAAAATTTTTATAGATTTTTCAATAAAAAAAAAAAAATTACGATGAATTTCATTGTATAGATATTCAGAAAACAAAATCCAATTATTTTTATGTATTTTAATGAAATAATCAATTATTTCACATTTACACATCGTTATCAAATACACTTGATCGAAGTGGCTAAAAAAACATATGACGTTTTGTCGAGTGGTTCAACTGTAACACTCGTTTGTTATCATTGACGACGACAATGTTTCCCCAACCATCAGGCATCCAAATTCTTAGACATTCCTCCGTCGGGAACTGGGACACTGATTCGAGGAAAATGTCGAAGAACAAATTAAACTTGACTTTACCTCCTGGCGTCGCTGACAACCAGCAGCCTGTTTCGCCGTCTGCACCGTTATCAGCCGCATCAGACACAGGGTAAATGAATTATATGGAAATTTCAGTCTTACAGTCCAGTAAATCTGTTTCGCTAGTATTTTATTTTTAAAATTTTTATGCGTTGCAGATGTGACAAGCTAAGCGTAGCGAGTCTACAAGAACAGCTAGACCGAGTTGGAATGGATGATGAACAGCGGAAACGAATGGAATTGTTCTTATGTCAAAAAGAAAAGATTGGTGGTGAACTTAGTGATGCTGATTTTGAGAAAATGAAAGATGGTGAACTTGGTGCCGGAAATGGTGGTGTAGTAATGAAAGTTAAACACAAATCTAGTGGACTGATCATGGCTAGAAAAGTAATGCAATTTCATAATTTGTATTGATTTCTTATTGTATAAAGTGTTCATTTTGTAGCTCATACATTTAGAAGTAAAACCTGCTATTAAGAAACAAATCATACGAGAACTTAAAATTTTACACGAATGTAATCATGCACATATAGTCGGTTTTTATGGTGCATTTTACAGGTAATATCACTGCTGTTTATAATATTCTTATTTATTTATATTTTTTTTTTATATTTTTTTCATTAACATATGGTTGTAGTGATGGAGAAATCAGCATTTGTATGGAGTACATGGATGGAGGTTCTCTTGATCTCATATTACAAAAAACTCGAATACCTGAGCCAATACTTGGAACTATAACTGCTGCTGTATGTGAACAATATTTTTTTTCCTAATAGACAAACGTAAAATAAACTTTTTACTTTAATAGGTTGTTAAAGGACTAATTTATCTTCGAGAACAGCATTCAATTATTCACAGGGATGTCAAACCTAGTAATATTTTAGTTAACAGTGCAGGAGAAATTAAAATATGTGATTTTGGTGTATCTGGTCAATTAATTGATTCTATGGCAAATTCATTTGTCGGAACTAGATCATATATGTCTGTAAGTGACAAAACAATTTAATTCAAATTAAATCGTTGAACTAATTAATACAATACATTTTTTTTAGCCTGAACGATTACAAGGGACACAATATACATTACAAAGTGATATATGGTCCTTAGGTTTATCTCTGGTTGAAATGGCCATTGGTATGTATCCCATACCAGCACCTGATGCTAAAACCTTGGCATCAATTTTTGGACCAAGATCCCAGACGACTGAAACTATAGAAAGCATAGAAAGTGATGTTTTTGGTAAAAAATTATTTTATGTACATTTATTTTGATTGATTAAATACTGTATAGTTTAAATCTTAATTTTTTTTTGTAAACGCTTATTTTTTTTTTTATGTTCTATCTGTATTTTAATTATATAATTCTATATTAGCAAATGGAAATGGGCCAAGACCAATGGCCATTTTTGAACTTCTTGATTATATTGTGAATGAGCCACCTCCAACGTTACCAGCTGGTATCTTCTCAGACGCCTTCAAAGATTTTGTAGACAGATGTTTAAAAAAAAATCCTAATGAAAGAGGAGATTTTAAAATGCTTATGGTAAGATAAAAATGACACCATATTATTAATTTTTCTTTCAATATTAATTATTTTTGAAACATTTTTCATTTATTTTCATTTTTATTGTTTAAAATTCATAATTAATTTTTGTTTTAAATAATATTGAAGTTAATATATTAACATAATCATTGTATTGTATTGTATTATTATTACTGAAAATATCAAGTTGTTTTATAAACATAAAATATTCTTATTTTATACTAAAATAATTTTACCAACCAAAGGTTTATTGTACCCTCTAACGATAAATTTTAACTCATTAGTAAAAATTACAGACTGAAGTGTAATGTATAAAAAATTTATTTACAATCCACAAGAAAACAGCATATACTTAATAAAAAATAAATTCATATTAGAAATAATTTTATATAAGAATCATGACCATATTAAAACATTATTATCATATGATATGCATGTGTAAATTTACTTTTCTAGAATAAATCAAAGAAAATGTTTTCCAATTTACTCTGTGTAACAAAAAATTTCTTTAATTTCTTTTACAGAAAACTATGTTGATAAATATAAAAATAATTATTTCGATTACTATATTACTATAATGTAACATGTATATATAATATAATATTATAGTAAATAATCCACAGTAAATTATACTTTAGTTTTTACTTAAATCAATAATTCTAATAAAGATATTTGAAACAATTTATTGAATTAATTTTTATTTTATTTTATAGGATCATCAATGGATAAAGAAAGCAGAAAGTGAACCTGTTGACATTGCTGGATGGGTTTGTAAGATTAAAGGTTTAACTCCGACTACTCCAACTAGAATGGCATCAAATTCGGCCTCATGAGTCTGCTCACTGCTCCTAATACAAAGGCTCACTGCTGCGGACTCCTATATAGACAGAAATGTCTAGAGGTGCGCCCCTCCCAAGCTTCAAAATATAATTGCTTTTGCCAAGTAATTTTTTTGTTTTATTATTATATTTATGTAGCTTTTGATAGAGTGATTAATAATTATATACTTAATAGAACATTTTAATGTTATTAATAAATATTAGGAGTTAATTTATTGTTAATCTTCTGGGTGTTTTTTATAAAAAATTTTCTACGTGTATTGTGTGATGAAAGCATTAATTTCTTATATTTCTTGTTGTATTTAATTAGTTATATTGTTTTATTGTAATCCTTGTAGCTAAATTTTCTTTTGCATATCAAATATATTATATATGCACTATACTGAAATAGATATCTAGCAACCTTAAAATTTAATTAGTATAAATATCGAACAAATAAATAATTCAAGTCCAATATAAAAAGTTACTAACAAATCAAATATTCCAGGAAAATTAAGCATTTTCTGTCCAATTGATTTTGTGATTTTATTTTCTTCCAACGCTTCAACAAAGTGATTTATTTTATACATTTTTTTTATTTGCTGTTATGTATAATGTATAGATAATTCATTTTAAAATGTTATACTTATTTTAATTAAATTGTATTCGTTTAATTTAATATAATTTAATTTTCTAGTATAAATATATTTTATTTATTTATGTTGTTCCTGCTACTTCATATTGTACTCTCAAGCTCATTCTGCTCATTTTGCACCAATTTTATTATTCCTTTTACAGTTATCCATATATTGTTACACTAAATAAGATAGTACTGGTATTATGTAAATGCTTTTAGTTAATGTTATCATTGTAGCATTTGTTATAGCGCTAAATCAATTATTATGTAATCTTGGTTATTTTTATCCGTACATTTATTATTTGTTTATATTATGATGTATTTATTTAAGTGTAAGAGTATTACTACATAGACTAGTACTTAAAAATTTAAAATAATCAAAATGACATTGAGTGTCTTGGCATATCATTAGGCCAGTGGGAGCCTTAGTAGCGGGAGCAGTTAACTATATATAATTATAATATTTAATGGCAAAATGTTAAATCAAATCATAACATTTAAATTGTCATTTATTTTATTCCTAAACATAATTATTATTATTATTATTATTATTATTATTATTATTCATACAATTTATGTATTATATAATAGAAAAAATAAATTTACATTTTATTTACATTTGAAGTATATAAGTCTGTTGAAATATTTGTAAAATCCCTATAAAAAAATAAATATTTTCTCCAATTCCCATCATAAAATGTTAAAATGTTTTTGTCCTATTAAGTGTATCCTTTTTTAATTGCTCAAATTGAATGTATAAATATCTACTATTTTTATGTTTAAATAGTTTATCCAATCAAACTTACTCAATATTCATTCATCAGTTCCATATTATATATGGAACTCATACCATTTCAATAATTGAAAAAAAATAAAAAAATAAAAATATTCTAACTATAATTATTATAGTTAGAATTTTTTTTATTTTTTTAAATATTAATAATTCATTACAAAGAAAGAAAATGAAATGCAAGATTATTTTTTAAGTTATGTATTTTATTAAAATACATTTATAGCTTGGAAATCCATATCATAACCCATAGTTTTAAGTATGCATTTCTTAAAAAATGCATTACCATCTCATATGTTTTGTTACGTCTCTGAATTTCTTAGTGAACTAAGAACTATCCTTCCATTGTTTGTAGACCTTGAATAAGGTCTATAAAATATACTTACAAATAATATAATTAAAAAGTAAAAAATTGTGTTTATAATATCCTTGATAATAGAGAATTTATAATATTTACTATTTCATTAATGGATGGAAAAAATCAAGGTTCAATGGTGTGTCTAATTTACTTCCGTATCAAAATTCAGTATGTAAAATACATTTAGATTTCTTTTATTTATTACCTACATTATGACATCTTCAAAAAAAATCAGAATAAACCCTTGTATACGTATATATTCAATATTTCAATGTAATGCTTTAATAACAATTAACCATTGAGTTAAATGTTATAACCTTGGGAAAAACTTAACCACGGGGTAGCCATAAAAAGTATAGGTATATAAAGAAAATTAATCATTTTTTGTTTGAAACATTATTATAATTTTTTTTCTCTCTTTCGATAGGTTTTTGATTTTGAATACAATTAAATTTGATTAATTTCTAACTTGTTCAGTAATCTATTATAAATGAATTTAATATTGCGGTATTTTTTAAAGGAATTACAAAAACCTTTTTACCTAGTTAAAATTAATTGTTAGAGTACTCGAAAAGTGTATATATATTTGAATAATAAATATAAAACATATGTATAATTTGATGAGGTTTTATATACCATCCTTAATCAATATTACATATAATGGTACGTGCGTTGTTCAACGATAGTATCTGTAATTCAGTTTGTAGGTTTTAATGTTTTTTTATAATATAGATGTTCATAACCCCAAACTACCTGGAAAATATTCTCTGTCTACTCATTGAAAAGCGATATCATCTATGTTAAGAACCACTGGTTTAAACTATAATAAAACCATTTTATAATCAATGCTTTAAAATATGATGTAGTTATTGCATTATATTATTATACTAGTGTCTAAGAGCAGAGGGCGGATCGAGCATCTATTTACGATTGGAGAACTTTATATGAGAAATTATATAATATAGCTGATCATAAGTATATGTAGGTCCCCCAAAAAAATAATGTCACAATATTGTACTAATACTTTCTAATATTATTTTTTTCTAACAGGATGTCAGTGCCCTACCCCTGAATCCGCCTATATTTAAGAGTAAGAATAAATACAATAAATATAATGAAATATTTGAGCCGTGGCAATGAAGCATATATGTATATATATTGATATTTATGATTTCAATAACGTCCCGACCCATGATAAATGCATGGGGATTTTGGAGTTGAAACCTCAATCGAGTAAATATCAGGAAAAATGTCAAAAATAAATTACTTATCCTACTACTTTTAGATAAATAAAATTATTCTAATAACATTTTACTTTTTTTCCTAATTTTGCCCTTGGAAGTTGAAACTGATACATATTAACATCGATATGATCACAATATATTTTAATACTAAATTAAAATGAATAATAATACTTTAATAAATTGTATTAACCACAATCTTAGAACCAATCTTACCACGTTAATATTAGGTATAGAGTATTCGTTTGGAGAAATACCTAGGTTCCTATTGAAAAAAACAGCAGTAAATCGATTGAGACTAGTAGAATAAAACAATCGACCTTTTTTTCCATAAAAATAATGAAAACGGAAAATATTTAATAATTTCCATAATAGATTTCAAAACCAACCGTTGTTAGTTCTTAAAGTAGGTATCCAAAAAACCAATGTGGAATTGGAAAAAAAGAAAACAAACGTAATGTCGTCAATGCAGTTCGGTAATTTTTATTTGATTCTAATATTCTAAATTGAAAAACAATTACATTTGACCATTGTAAGAATATTATGATTTTAATATGTTCTTTATTCACTCGGAAACTATAAATGAAGCTAATTTCATGTATAGTAAACAACATTTAATTATAATTAAAGTTTATTTCAATTGCAATTGTGAAACAAACCCAAACAGATAGTGCAAAGCTAAAACAACTTAGAACCCTCAATAAATATTAGAATTTACAATCGAAATATTTCATCAATCTGATTTAAATATAATAATTTATGTTTTTTTAAGAATATCATAGACAGTTATTATACTGTAAACTGTTTAGATTTTCAATATTTGAATAAATAATACACCTATATTATTTACCATGGACAAGAATAAAAAACTCCAATAAACTTTTTTTTAAACTCATTTACTTCCGAAGGCCCATATGTAAGATCTTTAAGAACCTAATTGTGAATTTATCATAACTTACCCATTTAATTTAAAAATCCTGCGTATTTCTGTACTTCATCAAAATATTGATATCATTTTAACACAAAATTCACTGTTGACGAAAATAATATGTTTTAAAAAAGGTTTAAGATTGTATATTTTTTTTTACAAATCGTCCGATTTTAATTGCACCATTTATCATTTGATCGAATTGTTGGATGATAAGTTTAACTTTGAAAATATTATTAATGAATAAAAGTAGTTTTAAAGTTGATTTAGTGTTGCAAAAGAAAATTCCAGGTCTCTGTGCAGGTTAGTTTAATAATATTATACCTACCAAATTTCAACCGAACCGTTGATTGCGTAATATGTATAATACATTTATTATTCATATAATCAATGACTGTACATGATTAAATCAACTGATATTGTAGAATTCAATCAATAGCATAATATTTCTTTACTTGCTTTGATGAATGCTATTCGTTATCGTTGGAAATTTACAAACATCGTCCTACTCATATTTCCAAACGAAATGTACGTACCTATGCATTTAAAATTCAAAAATCTACGATAGAAATACATAATTAAATAGGTAGTGCAAATTGGAATTGGTGTTAGGATCCTTATTGCGATAGTGATGATATTTATCATTGTTTTTTTTATTGCCTACTTTTGATTTTGTAACTCGTATCCAAACTAAGCAACAGGTATGCGTTTCTTTACTCTTTTTACACAATTTATTTTGATAGCAAAGATTAATACTATGATATATTCACGTATCATCAAGTGGTACCGCCGATAGTGACTGGAAGCTGGTCGTAAATATAAAAATTCAAAAGCTTATGGACCATTATCGGAAAGAATTTAATACTTGTCGTACATAATAAATTTTAATATAGAAAAAAAAAACATGTGATAAATGTTGATGTATTAATATTGACGTAAAGGCTAAAGACAAATAACTAATCACAATTCTCATCTTAGTTAGGTTATCTATTTATGTGCTATATTCGTACAATATTTACATAATCATATCTTCGTAAAGTCCAATGTGTTTTTTCTTTGATTACACTATACGTATTATGTGTATTTTTATCAAACTAATCGTTTTATATTGTTATGTAAATCAATACAAGTACAAACATAAGTATTGTATTATGACTGCGGGTATGATTTTGACCTTTAATCAGGGTTTTCGAGTATTGAAACTTAAAATAAATTACTAAACA